CTACTACTACTACTACTACTACTACTACTACTACTACTACTACTACTATACTACTACTACTACTACTACTACTACTACTACGACTACTACCACTACCACTGCTAGGAACAAGAAACTACTACCTAGAAAACCCAAGTATGCAAAAAAAATGTAATCGTGTTCTTTTCCGGCAAAAAAGGTCATCTCAGCCAAGAAACGTCATTGTTTTGTAAAATTGTAGTTGCTGCGATCAAGCCAGTGGAGGGTATGCAATATTCATTTTTTCAGCTGCTTCCAATCCCAAATCCAGCCTCTTCTTACACCAAAAGGTAGTTTTTCACCTAAACTTAGGCTCTTTCAGTCGGTTCCGGCGAAAGTGCAAGGATACACCGTACCTTTCGATGGCCCTTAGGATCACCTGCTTGCTTGCAACCTGTCTACTGACACGGCTGATTCTCCCAATAATAAGAACTTTGTTGGCTGCACAATGCCATTTAACTGACACGCAAAATTTGGACAGTTTGACAATTTCTCTCGTCTCAAAAGTGGTGTGAGACAGATTTGGCGCTTGGGCCGAAGTCATACACAACCTGTAACGCAGTGCGAGCCCCTCTTAAGGAATCGAAACAACTACTACAGCGAGTTAGCTGTGTTTTGCTCCTGCAACTGCTGGAGAAGGGTGTCTTCCTCATCAGGGGGCTGCACAACATCATGTGTCGGGCAGGGCATGCCTTCAAATCCCTCACCTCACACAGAGTGGCGCAGCTCGAAACCAAGGAGTTGATAGGAGCAGGCGTGGCCACATCAAAGGAAACCTGCATGTACCAACGTACCAGAGGCCCCTGACACAGCAAAAAATTTTACATTCAAAACATCCAAACCGTGTCCGGCAATTTCCGCAATTTTTCCGGTGATTTCCGTCATTTGGACGGTAAATTCCGTAATTGTTTTTCGGCCACTCCTGCATGGAAGTTTAAATGTCCACTGAAAAAAATGGAAATCTCAGCGATTGCAGATCGAGCTAGGTTTTGTTTTCCCTTGCCCCAAGCGTTTCTCTATTTTTCAGCTTTGAATGATCACCGCAACTTATCCGAATCTTTCAGGCAAGATGGAATCAAGGCATTCCATGACAAGCTGTTGGGATAATTTGACACATCTCAAACACAGCATGCTCTCAGTGAAATTGGCTTCTGTCCGGTCGATTTCCAGGGCCTTCGCTTCGAAGTTCTTCGAGGGCAAAGGCAGAGCAGCTTTTCAACGTCTTGAAGTTTTGGCCACTCTAACCATGACTATGAACTAAATAGATAGAGCTCGACCACTTCGAAATGGTTTCGATGGCGATATGGATCTCCAAAGCAATCTTTGCAAAACGAGGAAGTTGCAATTTGTGCACAGGGGGCATCATGTATCATCTAAATGCCCTCTGGTGATTGCAACATCCTTTGTGTACAGAAAGTAAGTACTGGCGCCCTGTTCATTTGCCCACAACTCCAGACTGGAGATCTCAGACAGAATGGTCCCATGATTTCTCAAACAAACAGCAGTAAGTATGCAAAAGGTAACAAAAGGTAAAAAGGTAATTGTTATACAAAAAATACATTTTCAACAAAAAAACTGTTTTTTTTTTTCTGAAATTACAATTTTTTTGCATACTTTAGGTTTACTAGGTAGGTGGAGGCCATCACTATTAGGTTGGAGGCCATCGCTACGAACGGAGAGATCGAACGCTAATGTCGACCTCTGGACCCTCCAAAAGGTGCTGCCTGTGGCCTGGTGCCCAGAGCTGTGGCCTCAATCGGTGCTAAGAATTTTTCGACCTGATCTGAAGGTCTTGGTGGTTCAGGCTGAAGACTGACGTCCAAGCCACCTGAGAGCAGGATTGGATGATGTTCACTCGCTCCAGGAGGGTGGCTTCGTGGAGTATGCGCGGCGCTATGATGCCGTCTTTCAGGTGGGACGCGGCGAGCAGATGGGCGTGACTTTCACGTCTGATGCTGCGATGTCGGTCAACCTGGTGGGTGTGTCATGTTTAACATCTTTTGTTTGGGGGGAATGGGATTCGCTAGGATGCAACACCATCAGATGGAGAAAAGAATAAGAAAAAAGACAAATTATAGGTTTTTGCCATCTCCTTGCTGGAAGCAACGAGCGCAGCGCTAAGTTGAGCAAACACAAAACTAACCTGAAACAAGGCGCGCCTGCCCTCACAGCCTCGAAACCAAACCAAACCTCGGAACACTCACATTGTCCTTCCACCATACTACTGCCCCGTCTCACCTGTCTCGACGCCGCCGCCACTAAAGGAGACCTTGGAGCTTCGACGCTTTCCGATGGATCGCCAGCTTTGCAGGTGCGAACCGGTGTCCGATCCCGAGAGATGTGGCCCTTTTTTCCGAGACAACTCCGGGGTTGCTGGTGCAGAAAGACCGGACTTAATCATGGTTGTTCCGTGACAGACTCGGTGACACCGTTGGGGTGGGGATGGAGACTCGGTGCGGTTTCAGAAGGCGATGGAAGGAACGGTCTGACGGATCGTTGCTGGTGTTTGTGGGTTCCCAGAGGCTCCCGTTCGTATAGAACGAAGGTTCCAGGTGAAGAAGGAACATGCCAACGGCCAAAGCAAGCGCGTGGATGGGCAATCTGACGTCTAAGAACCGGGCATCTGGGGAGTTCGTATGCCTTCTCAGCGTGTTTTCGGTGTGATTTTCACCCATCGATGTGAGTGCCACAGGGTACTGTTTGGACGGAATTGGAGCGAGGGGCCCCCACAGTCTGTGACAAGCAGCCAATGGAATTCTACATATCCATGTCCTTCTACCAGTTCGTAATCTCACTCCTCCTACTGTTGACTGTTGATTCTATATAGATCTATATAGTAACATCTATACAGAACCGTCCTGGTAGGGGCGTATGGAGGGTCGAGGGGTGGAAAAGAACTAGACAACCGTCAATGATCACTTCCCCCTAATGCAGACTCTTGGATTTAACACCCTTCACACATGGATTGTAAGACCTCTTCATGCGGGGGATTGAAACAGAATCAAGAGTTTGCATGTTACAATTTGTTACAATACATTTGGATGAATTATGAATTTGGTTTCTTGCTCAAAGAGCCTTCCATCGGTGGTTGATGTGGTCATCGTTTTTCCTCAACCCCCACGACCTCTCACGATCCCACGATGGACCACCGCAGGATCAAACTGACGGCAGAGGCGGACATCCAGACCTTTCAGCTTCCCGGGCTGTTCGAAAAAACCGGTGAGACACGTCCTGGACCACACGGCGGGGGTCTTGAGTGTGTCTGTTCGGCCTGCGGTATGGTTTTCGCGGGAGGCGGAAGTAGAAGATGTGAAGATGGGTTTGGGATGCTTTGGGCAAAATCCCAGATGGTTTGGGCCAAATCACCGATTCTTTGGTGGATTTGACCCTTGGGACCGACCGAAGCAGCTGCCACCCCAGGTTCGTGGTGTTGGAAGGTGAGAAGCAAATCTCGCAAGTGAGCCATGACGAGTGGCGCGTCGAGGACCGGTCCGACTTCGGTGGATTCGGGGGGAAGATGCAGGTGTCGGAGGTACAGGTATGTACTTGTACAGGTGAAGATGTGACTGTGGGATATCAGACTGGCTTGGATTCAAAGCTGGGCTCATATGCGACATGGAGCGAACGAGTGACCAAGAACGATGCAAACGGATCCAATTGTGGGAGACACATTGGTGGGAGACACATTGGTGGGAGACACACTCTCTCAGCCAGTGCCTTTGTCTAACCTCAGCTCTAGACGGTCTTCATGAGTGTTTTGAGTTGCTGCACGCGCAGAATCATATGCAGAAGAAGTGCACCACGTACATCCGCTATGCCGATGAGAAGTTCCCTTACCCTGTCCAACGATCAAGTGTCAAGACCGTGCTACATTTGCAGCGCAAAGGTGACCTGCTGTGCTTGGTGGAGACCTGTGGGTGGGCAGCGGTTTTGAAGGAGGTTGGAAGGTGGGAAGGAGGTTTGAAGGAGCCAAAGATAGTCCCAACACCCATGACTTCAGGTCGAAAATGCATGATTGAGGCCCGTTGAACCCCGTGCTCTTAACCCTCACCATTGGCATGTAGTGAGTCCTACTAGGTTGAGGATACAAAAATAAGGTTCTTTGAGTAAGGAACTTGACCTCAAACAGGTTAAAATGGAGGATACTGGTCACATTGTGTGTTTGTTTGTTTGTTCGCTTGTGTTTTTTTAATCATCCAAATGTCCTATGTGGAAACACATCTTGATATATAATATGTAACATATATATATATAGAGAGAGAGAGAGAGAGTTTATCTAACATGCCAGCTTCGTGACTCTTTGATGTTATCGATTTGACGTTAAGCATTCAGTCTTTCACAGGACAGTCTCCCTGTACAACCCTGTGCTGACATGGTTGTGCGTTCACAATGAGGTGACTATTACTTCCACAACGTGCTGATCAACATTTTTTTGGTGCCTTCGCATGGCGGATCCCAGTTCGGGGGGCAGTTGCGCAGCTGCGCATCATTTCTTGAAACAGGTGGTCTCCAGTTCCCGGGGTGCTTGCTAAAGAGGAGCTCCTTTTTTTCGGACGAAATGGCTGGCGAGCACGAGCATGTGCAAGCAGAACAAAACCATCTCTTGAGATCTAAAGATGGTGTAACAGCTGATGTTCACAATCCTTTGTAGATCTTTGTACTGTCAGCAAGACTTGTGCACCTGGGAGACTAGTATTGGGCCGTTTGAAACTCGTGAGTTTGACTTGTATTCTTGCACTTGCGTACTCTCACGAGCTCCACAAGTATACGCTCACTTGAGACTTGGCTTAAGACACAGTCAGGAAAGTTCTAATACGGTACACCAATTCCCGCAATTTATGGAGAGTTTCCCACGGTTTGACATGGCTTGGTATTGGTATAGTCATTTATATATTAGTAAACATAGCACTAAAAAGGATTCATGTCATATAGCATCGGCGCGCTGCGATGTTCAACTTCAAGGTTGACCCTCTAGGGGTATGGCCCACGTCAATTGCTGGATTGAAACACCTGGTCAGGGCTTTTGACGATCCCTGTCCTTGGTCAGTGTTGGTTCGGAAAAGGGCCTGTCCACTCTCAATGTGACTATGACATGAGGGCCCCCTGCTGGGAATCAAGGAGAAGACCGGAACGCCCTTCCAATTACAAAGCAGTGGGAGAATGGTGTCAAATTGCACGGGTTTGCACAGGTTCGGGTTGGTTCTTCCTGCAATTTTCTGCAGGTATTTTATCCTAGGTAGATGACCAGCAGTTGCCGAATTCTTGTCCCTTTCCTTCAACAATCTGAACATGTCTCTTTGCCAAAAAGTGACACTCTGTTTTTCCCCACCACCCGGAACCACGTCGAATTCACCGTTCCCTCCACACCCGACCGTGCCGTCCAGGTGAATGTGATTGCCCTCTTCAGCTTTGCAGTCCCCGTCTCCGATACCGGCGATCGGCTGAGCTTACTGTCCACCACGCTGGTGGCAGTGACTGCGTATCAGACGGTGATCAACCAATCGATCCCGCAGCGAGGTTGCAAACGAGATTGGACCCCGGGAAAAGATGGGAAGAGATGGAAGTGAAAAAGCGAGATGTTGGTGTGTGGGATGTGGAGGATGTCCAGGTGGAGCTGTTGTGATTCAAGATGCAAGCATGGAGATTCAGATGAATTATTGGGGTGCTTGCATGTGGATTTTGTCTTCAAGGTCCCCGGTGATTTTTGGGATGTGCTAATGGTGTCATGACCTGGACCTTCTTTGGCTTTGTGCATGTTTGATCATCTTTGATGTACCTTTTTTGCAACCACGCTTAAATCATAAAACATCAAGACAAGAAGGCATAACTTGGTATTTTTCTTGCTCAGGAGCATTTCTAGCTATCTCGCCACCTACTTCCATGAAGATGAAGCTTCTGGTATTTTCCAGGGGCTTGTGGGGCACAGGGAGATGAGAGACACGTGGCACTCGTTCAGATGTGTGTGTGTGTGCCCCTTGTAGTCACAGGGATTCTTTTGTATTGTTTTTCGTGTACTTCAGCGGGGGGCTCTCGGAGCCTGCATGAGACGAGAGTCAAAGAAGACTCTCATGCAGTGCTTGTGTAAACGTACCTGCTTGGTGCACCTGGGCGCATTATAAGACGCAGCTGGTGGCCACCCTTCTTCCTTTTTGTAAAGGGCTAATGAGCTCCGCAGACTTACACGCTACGACGTCAACCTGTCGTTTCGCTTCCGGCTTACGCTTTGGGCCACAATTCCCTTTGAAGGCCTCCAGGATCCAGGGGTTCGTACATGTACTCTTAGGAAATGGTACCCTAGGCCGGCGTGTGGCACCGCTGTCCGTCAGTACGCATATCCATAAGTGTGTGAGTCTGGATCTGACCGGGCCGCTTGGGGGATATGTAAAGATGAAACTATATGCCTTCCTGGGTGCACAAACCCAAAAGCAGAGCGGCTGCCCATTAACGATGTCCCCGGTACTTTGGGACGTTGGGGACTTTGTTATGGAAGCATCTATACTCAAAGACTTACACTTCCTGCAAGAATCATTCATTCATGCACTTTGGGTAGTTGGTCATAGGGTAACTCATCAACTTTGCATAATTTTATATTTGGAAATAGCATTTCGTAGCAAAAACACATTTCACAATAAAACACATTATGTATATATATACATATATCACATAATAAAACGGGAAGAAGTGCAATAACTACTCCACAACTACCCCCCTGGTCACTCACCCCACTGTTGTTTTCCACTGCAAGCTCACACATCATCACCACCTCGGATGATTAGCACCAAGTGTCCTGGACGCTTATTCCTGTTTAAAGCTGCCCATTGCTTCAGCAAAGCTCTAAGTGTTGAAAGGTGCGGCTCCAGTTGAAGCAGGCAAAGGTCTCCCTTCCCAGCTCACAGGACACAAAGAACCTGTGTTTTTTCACCCTGAGGATCAAATGCGGATTAGCTGAACTGGCCCAAGTTGATTGGAAATGAGTTCTAATGATTTCTAGTGTCTGCGTTTTTGGTTTATGTGTTTTTTTAATGTTTTAATTTGTTGACTGTTGTGATGAACCTTCATGAACCCACTTCTGATGAGCCTACCTGTTACAAAAGAAATCATGGAACAAAACGGATGGTATGGCCCCAAGGACTCGGATAAGCATCTTCTGACAGTTCAGTGGTGAACTCCAGGTGGTTAAGTGAACGAAACCATGATTATTTCTGGATGTGCACACGGCCCCGAATCGTGACGTTCCAATGTTGCTTGTTTGTTTGAGTGGGGAGGGTGCCACCCACAGTCTTGGAAGCTGACTTCGATCTCGCTGACGCTCCTTCGCTGGCGCCCTCCCAAGGCGGAAGGCCTACCTCACAGCCTGTGACAAATATGTGATCTTCGCAGTCATTTTCCAGGCAGGAAGGATGGTACGGTGTGCCCAGGTCGAAACCATTTGTGACGTCATACCATGGTCATGTGCAGAAGACGAACGCACTTCGCCCAAACGAAGAAGCCGTAGGAATTCGCAGGGGTTCGCGACATCTGAGTCTTGGGGTTGTGCCCTCACCCATTGCGTTTGAGAGTGAGTCGGGAAGATCACATGATCATCAAAACCATAAGCCATACACACTTCATTCGTCATCATTGTGGAGTAAGTAGCTTTAGCTTTCATGGAAGATCATCATTATCATCATTGCATGTGTGTGTTATATATACTGTATATATAATCCGTTCATCTCCTTTCCCACTTAGGATGTCTTCAAGTTTGATCTTCCTTCCTTCCCAGACCTTCCCAGACCTCGAAGTCACCTTTTGTCTCCCAGAGTATTTGAAAGCCGTGCTGTTTTTCATTACCGTGGCCGTGGCAGTCAAAATATGAAGAAGAACCTGTTCTCCAGACATCGATTCGCTCTTCCCCCGATGGTGAACTGATCCGCTTGCGGTCATTTGGCGCCACATTCATGGGATGGTGAACTGGTGTGTCGGCTGTGTCGGCTGCGTTGAAAGTGCTCGGTGGATCTGAGCGAATATCAAGTCTTAAGATTCTTAAGGGGAACAATGTGTTCCTTGGAATGCATCAAAGGGACGATTTTGCACACAAATCAGAACCTCCCGTTTCTGACAATCCGATAGAAGACAGGCAAAAGGGCTCAGGCATTTTTGTCAGACCAAGCCTCCGGAGCGTGAATCATGTGGAGTGGTCAAGGATGGTCAAGTCAAAGACTGTGGGGATGTGACGGGGGTCAAGTCAATGCCTGGAGCCGACTACAGTCGTACCTCCGCTTTCATGGGTACAGTCGTACCGGGGTATGTGTTATAGGGTCATGTCCCATTGTCGTACTTGTAGTCAGGTTCAGGTGTATGTGCGGCATCGTTGGGCCCTACATTGCGGTCACAAAACAGGGTGGACCCTTGGTTTTCTTCCACGATTACCAGACATGGTCAACCTACCAGGGTTTGGAGCTGTAGGTATTGAGCCACATCACATGGCTTTGACAGTTTGACTGTGAAGCGACTCGAGGGCTTCTCGAAGCAGTCAGAGAGCCTGTTCTGCCAGGTCCTCATCGGAATCGAGACCACCATCGTGGCCTTCATCTTTCAGTACCATGATTGGGATGAGGCCCTGAAGCAGTTTTACTCCAGAAAATGCCGAAGCACGGGAGCAGGGAGTAGAGAGTTTACAGGTTTACCCCATCATCGAAAGGAGAGTGTCTCGGTACAAGTCGAGCCGCTAGAGTAGCTCGGAACAGCTGACTCGGAGTCGGTGGGGATGCTGTGTTCGGGAGACGCGACTCACCGCTTCCGGCGGGAATGACCAAAAACACTTCACAGAGGCGATGAACCCAGCGAGGATGTGACACGTGATCGCCGTGATCGCTAAACGACGGCACAGAACCAGGACGAATATTCATGAACGACAGGTCAGAGCTGAGTAAAGACAGCTGAGTAAAGACAAACGACTGCGGTGCTTCATGCCTGAATCTCTCGAGCTGCCCGTCCTCAAAGGGTGTCGCTTCGACCCCATGTTTGAAGTGTGTCCAGCTCATGCGACAGGAGATGCCAGCGCGGATCCGACTCATTGACTCTTGGGATGTAAACATCAGGTGTCAACCCAGCGACTGTAAGTGCGCGTGGTGATCTTCTGCACGGAGCATTAAGACCTGTTGAGATAGTTTCGGCGATGGAAGGGTGTACTGCCGATACATGTTGGATCATTTTGGATAAGCCCTTGCCTGTTCAGAAATCATATCATTTGTAGTACAGGTCAGGTGTACATGATGACCGTCGTTGTTGACATGTTGACCCATGTTTGTTTATGCCGAAAGATAGATCCACTGTCAGCCTTGGACTCGATGGTTCAAACAAACCCGACATCACATCCTCATTGATGGCCTAGGGCCTAGGCGGTTGAATGTGACAGACTGCATGAAACCATTGATCGAAGCAAGGGGCCATGGTCACCAGGTCAATGAGCGAAGTTCATCAAAGTTCTAGGTTCCCTGCTGTTTGTTGAAATTTCGGTAGCAACAGTTTGTCAAGGACGGCATCCTACCAAAGTGATCCAAGCATATCTCGATGTGTGTGTTTTCTTCCCGAAGATATCTCGGAAGTACTCCAAGAATTTGTATCCTATGATCGCACTGGAAGGCTTGTGCAGAATCTGGGGAGCATTCCACGACCGCCTCACAGCAGGTCTTTCTGGGGAACAGCAGTTTCTTTGTTTCATCTTCAGAATTGAATCCGTGAACATTCAATTAATTGATACTTGGACTTGACACTCAATTGGCGAGATATTGGCAGCCAATGCGTCGACAGTCGACAGAGCAGCCAGGACGTAGGCATTGGACATCATCAAGACCTCGATCTTGACTCGTGACCCTTCCAGCCTGGGGAGTTCGACTTAAAAACCCCTGGGCATCCAGCAGTTCGCAGTGGTCCTCGAACCCTTCGAACCCAGGTGTTTGAGGGCCCTTTTCTGTCTCTTCTGGTGGAAGATCTCTGCACACCCGAGGAGTCAATTTAGTAGCATTCTTGTTCCGTTCGTAGCGATGCCCAAGGATTCAATTGTTGGGATGGCCCTGGGCACTTTGTGGATCGTCAGCAATGGCGCCATTTTGCTCTTCTTCCACACACTCCGCGACAGCTGGAAGGTGTCGCGGTCGCAAAGAAAGGGGGGTAGCCCGTGGGGCACCAGATGGCACCATTGTGTGTTTTCCCCTTGATTACATGAGCCATCTCGCGTGGCAGTGGAAGACATGCAATCCACTGGAAGAATTGCGCGTCCTGAGTCCACCGAAGAGGAAGCGTTGAGCGATCACTAAAGGGGTCGACTTGATTCGATCACAGTGATCACAGAAGTGGTCGAGTGTGATGGTCCTTTTTAGGAAAGGTTAGGTGGTGGGGTCGGGTTGTAAATGATCTCTAATTACAACAGTTTGTGGTCGTGGTGATGAAATCCAGCCGATACCAGGTGTGACGTGATCGGATGTGATCAGTTTGTCAAAACTCTGCTTCGTGAGGATGTCCATCTTGAAAGAAGAGTTGGGTGGGTGGGAGGGATATGTCATGTCTCAGAAACAATACCAGGCCTCAGCCTCGGCCTTGGGAGGGTCCCCGGTTGACAGGAGCATGTTTGCTTCGTAGCTTTGGCTCGTCATCTACCCTCTTTTGAGTTCCATGTGTCTATGCAGAGCCCAGGCGGTCTATGAGATGAACGAAGAACCATTCGCTCCGATGCTGAAGTGCCTGAAGTGCCGCGAAAAGTGGCATTGCAAACAGGCCACCCACAGCGAGGACGACTGAGGGAACTCGACTGGAGAAGACGTTGAGACGTGCTCAAAGCGTTTGGAAATCATGTATGTTGGTTGAATGGGTCTTCGGCCCATGATCCTAAGATTATGTATATATAGACATAATGGGGTTCTTGAATTCTTGCAAGTCTAGGCTTAATGTAAAGAGGAAATGGAAGTTCCCAGCAAAAGCAGTGCCAAGGGAGTCAACGTATTCTATCGTCACCGTTTTCCCCTATCATTCTAAGCTACAAGTCCATCGGAAGGTGTTCTGTGGTTCAGGTTTCGGTCTTGCAAATGCCAGATGTTGCTGTTCGTTTGATATGCTCGCACACTCAAAGCACAACAATTCGTACCTGTGAGTGCTTGATTCTTTGCAGAGGTTTTGATCCCGCTTTGAGTACCCCGAGGCGGAGGGTCGCTTCATCAGACGCAACTAGCCTTCTACCTACTCTGTTGATCACCTCAGGAGCCCCAAAGACAGGTGTGTCCCTTCTGTGGTGAGCAATCTGCCCAGCTTCGGAAGCACTATTATACGCCCAGCTCCAAGGCGCACGAGTCGGGTTCGCGTCACCGTCCTCCGGCTCCCGTTCGCGGGGCGATCGAAGAAGGCGTTCGTCTCGGGCCGGGAGACGTGAAGCACTGAGGAGCTCTTCAGTTGCAACTGAAGGTCTGGTTCACTTGACAATGAGCACCATCTCTGAGTCAGGTCATGTCAGTCATGTCCCATTTTCTTGCTTACACTGGACACTCGGGCATAATACATCATAATCAGTATATGCTATAACATTGCCGAGCTACGCCTTCGCTGGCCGGCGATGTCTACGTAGAGTTTGAGGCAACCCCTTTTTCCTTATTTATAGGACCTTGTGAAATAACAAAAAGGCTTGCCTTAAGACTATATTGATCTTTGCTTCTTTGTCCCCCTCTCTCAACACCAATCAACATAGGCAACCGTTTCTTTCCTTGTTTTGGGCTTGCCGAGAACCGTCCAAACGGTCGCCCTTTCAGTGTTCTTCTTCTCTGTCAGCGTTCGGCGCGTCGTCGGCTCGCCGAGGCGACCGATCTTGTGAGTTCAAAGGACAAGGAACAACAAAGGATATCCTTTGAAAACGTAAAACTGGTCTTTTCACTGGTCTTTTCATATTTACGTCTTCTTTAACAAGGAAAAGACCAGTTATAACTGAAAGCCCCCCCCAAACGCATTTGTTTACTTGAAACATCTCGGACGGCGCGACGTCGGGTGCAGAACTCGGACCGTTTTCTCGGCGAAGTCGACGCCGGAGAAGTGGCCCACTGTGAGGAGTCGGACCAACTTCCATTCGGGCGGAAACGGTTCGAGCAAAGGAGAAGCCGGAACAAGCCGATTAGTGTCATATATCATGTAATATGTATATATATATATATATGATCAGCAATTTTTTTAAATCAGACTCTGGATAAAAATTGACTCTGGGATATTCATAATACATAGCTTCGCCGGACATCCTATTTTTACTGCTGTTGCTGCTGTTGCTGTGCTTCATTCTACCTCATCTTCATCAACACAGAGGTCTGCCTGGCATGTTTCTGGAGTTTTTCTTTTGCTCAAAATAGTGTTGTGGCAGGTAGTACCAGTAGCCTTCTCATTTGCCATTGGACCGCAGCTTTTGACTCAAAACCTCCGGACCCAACGGACATTGACCTTTCTCGCCGGACTTCAGCATGCCCCCTATCTCTGCTGAGCCAAAGATTGAGGCCAGCTGGTAAGCTTCAACTTGAAGTTTATGTTCCCCATCGAACTCGCACGGCTTTGCAGGCGGTCATCAACTCCCTTGATCTCATCATCGACCAGCTGGAGCGCATAAGATTCAGTCACTTTAAGTGATTTTCTCGTCGGACTGTATGTTCAATGGGCTAATGAGTCTAAGATCATTCCTAGTCCGTTGCTTTGGAAGTTCCTCCATCTCTGCCCATCGATTTTGCATTCTGCCTGTCCGTCGGACTGTTCAATTGTTGACCATCAGATTGGAAGTCAGTCAGCTTGCACTCAGGTCAAGAAATTCTCTTAGGCGACTTGGATGACGGACGGTACTTTGATGACCGCAATGAAGATGGTGAAGATGATCCTTGCAGGGAGAATTTTATCAACAACTTGGAGGCCTTGATTGTGCCCTGGCTCATGATCTGTCTTTAGAGTACTGGAGTTTTGTTGCACACGAACAATGGTATGTCAATGAGTGCGTATGTGAAACTCAGGAACAGATTTCGGTTTGAGTTTTGTTGCGCACGAACAATGATATGTCAATGAGTGCGTATGTGAAACTCAGGAACAGATTTCGGCTTTGAGACGACTCCGGACATTTCTGAGACCCCCTCGATTGCCTTTTGAGCTCTAATGTGATGCCAAAGTGAGGAATCAATGGTCCCCAATGGTTTTGAATCCTTATTGGTTGAAACGGCCCCCAATGGTCCCCAGTAACCAAAGTGGAGGACTGGGACTTGCAAGATACGGACCTGATCTAGATCACTTGGGGCTTTTAATCGACTCCAGTCAAATGATTGGGTCTTTGGAATCTAGCGGATGGAATCAACCAGTGAGCCCTGAATGGCCCTGAGCGCAAAAGACTGCTGGCAGCTCTTCATGTTTCATTGTTTTGAGTACGACGGACATTGGTCATCGTTGACATCGCCGGACATCGATCGACCTCGACGGGCATGAGTCAAGCTGCAACGGACCGTGATCGCGCTTGCCAGGATATCGTGTGGCTTCCACCTACGGCGGACTGTCGGGGTCCTCAATTTGAGCACATTGGGCTTCATGGCGTGTTGCATGGAATGACATGATAGATGCAAAACATTTCAGTTCTCTAGTCGACCCCAACACCGACATAGTAGACAGACTTTCCAGCAGAGGTTGAGAGTACTCATAGACCCTCCTATGTGACATTTGTCGTATAGACCCCTTGTGTCGTATAGACCCCCTCCCTTTCCCAAACCATGATGGTTTGCAACTTTGAGCCATGTGTGTGAAAATCATGCCCACACTATCGACTTGAGCCATGGGTATGTGTCCGGATGACTTTAAAAAACAAAACGATCAGGCACAGCCATATATGCACTGCGTGCATGTCACACCACATGACGCCTTTTCTATTTCCACTGATTAGTCACGTGGGTCGACCGAGTTTGGCCCACCGCAAGCTCACCATCACACAGTAGTGTTGCAAACTTCTCAGTGAAAATGTGACAGTGTGCAGCTTTGTGCAGATAGCTTTGATCCTTCTCACCATATCCTCGTCCAAAAGGCACTGATAATACCGGGGGTTGCCATGCACTGGCAAATAGTCAAGGATCCTAAGCTTAAGCCACAGCAAAGCCAGTTTGCAACATGGCTCTTGCAGCAACACGCATGGAAAAACACAGCGCAAGATACATACAGCCGAGCTGCAAATGTTCCAACTGATGAACCTTCGGTCTGACTTGAAACAGCAAGCGGCCAACGTCCAAGGCCCATAGAGACAAGCCTGTCAATGGTCGTTGGGCACTTGTTCCAGAGCTGAAAAAACACAATGCACAAGTTGAGACCCATGAGTTTTTTTGTTCACAGCTAAGTCGCTATTGTACGCTCTTCTATACCTCATGTAACCCTCTGTCGCTTCAGCCACATCTGAACTTGGAAGCAGCCCACGTGGGTTCTTCGCAAAGATAATGCTCATCAATGCCAGCCCACTGAAGGCTGAAGCAATCCACCTGCACTGCGAGCGGTACACTAAACAGTGTGTGCATTTGGGCTACCTTCAAATTTAAAACTGGTTTTCAAACAAGTCTAAACATGTTGTTTTCCCAGTACACCTGTAGACATCGATGTCAGGGTTCTCTTCAGAGATTTGCGAGGCATATTGGTTTGCAAAAAGGATCATCATCCTTGACGAAGCTCCATTCATTTTTTTCTGGCCGATATTCGGATAGGCGTGGGTTTTCTTTTGCAAAGAATCCCTCTCAAACAGGACAGCTCGTGCTCTGGAATGGTGTGGAATACCTGGGCTCAACTAAGCATGGCAAGGGTTTCCCCTTTTGGAGAGACATCCAAACCAACTGTTTGTGTGGACCCAGATGCACAAAACCTATCGAATCTTTGAGTCTAGTGACCATGTTTGATGCACCAGGCTAAATACACTGCGTATAATTCCCTCAACCGTTTGTCCCTCGATCGTGCCGGAAAGATTTGCTGATCGTCTGTCCAGACCAAGAAGGCAGATTCAATCAGGTCAGCAAACAAAGCCAAATCGCAAATGTGCAAAAGATCTGGGTAGATTCCTTGGCTTCACAGAGCCCTGATATTGACCCAAGTGAATCATGCTCACTATCATCACATGCAAATCATAGAACACATGTTTTAATCGCAATCCATGCTTCGCCAACTATCAAATCCTGTGATTTGGCAGATAGGGGAATCAGACAAATTCTCCACAAACTCCTTCGAGGTCGTAAGCCTCAGATTCTCCCAACCTATACGTACTAGCGGAAAGCGATGGCCTCCAAGCGATCCGATGTACCTGGCGATGGCCTCCACTAGCTTTCGAATGGGCTGCTTTAAGAGACTCGACTCGGATTCAGCTGAGAAGCCTTGCACGGTACTTTGCATCTATGCCAAAGTTGGTGTAAAGCAGTCCTTCATCTTCTACATCTTGAACAGACTGCATGGCTTCACAATGAAAGCAGCAGTGGGTATGCCGATAACTTCCTAATTGGTCAAATAATTTGGGAACAATGAACAAATATTGGAGGTTTGAAAAGAATAATAATGAAATCTTTTTCAATCATTCCATGGTTCTTTTCAGCTTGAACAGGTGTGCAATAAAGTCCGCGTCCCCCTGACACCCATCCAAAGCCGCATGCCAGGGGCCCATAATTCTGGTCCCTGCGTTCTCCCACCAGTCCTTCATATAGGACTCTGAGAAAGGTTTGCCCCAGGGATCCACAGCTGGATGGACTCCATTGCCTCACCATCCATCTATCTTTTGATATCAAAAAACTACTGAACACCCCCTATAAACTAGATGTGATGTTCCTCTTGTCTGGGGCTTTGCTTTGCATCCAGGGCTTTGGATGCAGCATTAAGTTGCAAAGGTTTTGCTGAGCAGGTTCAATGGTTTGTGGCCATTGATGAGTTGCAAAGGTTTTGCTGAGCAGGTTCAATGGCTCGATGTGGCCATTGAACTGGATTCTAGTATGGCTCCATGTGGTCATTGATATTAAGCTACCGGTGGGTCTAACCAGTTTTGATTATATATAACTTGTTTGATGTTTCAGTGTTCCAGTTATTATGTTTTGTCACGCCAGTAGACACACACAAAAACACACACACACACCCAGAGACCAGTTCACAGAAAAACCACGTACCTTTTTTCTCCAAACAGCTGACCTTTCATGGTCACGGTGCTGGTGCCGGTGCAAGCTGGAAGCAAATCATGATCATCTCTTGTGCTCGCACATCGAAGCATTGGACTCGGGCTTCCCATGGATTATCAAAGATCACATCTTTGGTTACTATGTAACACAGCTCCTC